ACATGTATTTTTATATGATATATAAATAAATCACTTTTTTTTTTATATTTAGTCTTTCACTTTATATTTTATTCAGTAGTGTTGTTAAGGTGTGCATAAATTCAAAGCTTGTTTTTCTCAATACTTCTCCAATTGGATCTTAGGGTTTATTTCTAGCTCTTGTCACAATCGGGCACAATATAACCTGTTTAGTTTCGGTTCATATTGACTCGGGTTGTGATAACTACAACATCTGGGCGGATCCATCATGGTGTCGGATCTTAGGTGAGGATATTCTTTGATAATCTGAATAATTTTCTAGGATTGCATTGGAGATGAGGAGTTTAACGACGCAACACTAGGTCAAGTTATTGATTTTCTATATTAAAATATCTAAATACATTTCAATTTAGTCATCACCCCAACCATTCCTCCCTTATTTAATACTTCTCTAGGAGAGAAAGGAGGAGAGAAATGAGATGAGAAAAGGGGGAGAGGAGAAGGTAGAAGAGAGTGAAAGTTCATTTCGGGCCATTTTTATTTGTCCCTCCAATTGGGAAAAGTATTCTGATCACAGTAAGTAAATCGAATCTTATATATATTTTCAATAATTTTTATTTCTTGGATTTTATCTCTCCTAAAATTAATTTAAATACAATATTTTTCGTTCTAGTGATCCACATTACTTTTAATATGTGATATACATCATCATCTTGAGTATTTTGACTAATTAATATTAAAATTTCATCGAGAAGGTTTTACTTGTATATCATTTTAATTAAATTGGATAGTATAATATTAATTAAAAAAAGATCAGGTGTCAATAGGATATTTACAAGAGGATGTACCTTGGTGTATGCTTTTTGCTGATGATTTTCTTCTTGTTGATAACACTAGTGAGGGAGCTGAAGGTAAACATGAATTATGGAGATCAACCTTAGAGTCTAAAGGTTTTCACTTGAGTAGATCTAAAACCAAATGTATGGAGTGTAATTTTAGTAGTAATAGACTTAGTGAGAGGATTGTGACTTTGGGCGAGCAAGCCATTAATAAGAGTACATATTTTAGATATCGTGGATCTATTATTCAGAGTGATGGTGAAAAAGATGGGGATATTATCAATAGAATTCAAGTTGGATGGTTGAAGTGGAGGAATGCATCGGGCTTGTTGCGTGATAGAAACGTCCCCCTCAAACCTAAAGGAAAATTCTATAAGATGGTGGTGAGACTAGTAATGCTTTATGGTGCTGAATGTTAACATTAAAAGAGAAGTATAATACTAAGTTAAGTGTTGCAGAGGTGAGGATGTTCATGTGGATGAGTGGCTTGACCCTTAGAGATAGGATACGAAAGGAGCATATACATGAAAAGGTTGGAGTAACGTCAGTGGAAGATATGATTAGAGAGAGTCACCTTAGATGGATTAATGGTCACAAAAACTGGCAGTCTTCCGATGACCCGATTAGGAAAGTAGAAATATTAGATTTATCTTATATTATGAAAGGTAGAGGTAGACCTAAAAAGTCTTGGTTAGAAAATATTAGAAAAGATCTTTCTTTGTTAGATTTAAACGAGAATTTGACATTTAACATAACACAATGGAGAAAAAGGATTCATGTAGCCAACCCCATGTAGTGGGACAAAGGCTTATTGTTGTTGTTGTATCAATGGATTTTGTATTTATCTCAGAAATATTTATAATTATAATTTTATACATACAGTACATGGCACAAATGATACCCAAGAAAAGTTATGACTGTCAAAATCTAACTAGACCTATATATATAGACTCAAATCTCAACTTGCACCTTTCTCTATTGAGCCTATCCCATCTCTTTATCCTAACTTGAAATAGATGCAAAAAGCAGCATAAGAAAAAACAATTTAGTAGACTATATTCAACCTACCTAAGTTTTTTAATAATAATAAGTAAAAATAATGAAGTAAAAATAATAAAGTAGGTTTATCCATTCACAAGTATAATTAGACTATTCATAATAATCAAATATCTACAGAGTAGTAAACAGACATTCTACCATAGTACTTATAAATAATAGAATTATCTAGTAATAAAATCGTAAACACACCATTTTCATTTTGTTGAATTGACAAAATTTCTCTCGACCCTAAACCTCTCAACAAATATTAGAATTTAAAAGTTAGACCCATATTAGTGCATATGCAAGCATATCAAATAATAGACTCTTATAACTCCCATGCATAACACCACTAATATTAAGAGTTTTTTTGCCCTCATTACTCCCAATATATATCATATCATAACTCTACCAATCATCAAAATTGTTTCACATTCACATATTTAAAGCATATAAATGCTATATATATATATATATATATATATATATAAGTTAATACATTATGTCAAAATTATCAGAGGATTTCATATAATGTCTTACTAACAACCATCTTGATAGAAATTAATTATAGGTGTCAGAATATATTTTTTCAAATCATCAACATCAGGTATTTCCAAGACTACCCATTAAAAATTTACAAATAAAATATCAAATGTGTAGAATATTTCCAACTATGACATACCAAAGTTACATTGTGAAAATTTTTCGATTGAGCGAATATGCCTAATTTTGCATCTAAATTTAATGTAAAACATTGGGAAAATCCCAAAAAAATTAAATTATAAAAAATTGAGATATGCAAAATATAACTTACGATAGCTCGGACAACTTCTCAAACTGCCCTGATTAATGAAATCAACCCAAAGCTGCTTGAAATGGACTTTCTATTTATAGAATTTCTCCTGTTTCTTTAGGAGATTGCCTAAGAGGATAAAATCATTTTTTCAAAATGTTTTTTGAGTGAAATTTGATATTTATTAAATATTTGATGCCACCATCGTGGTGCCTAGTGAACTAGCACCATAATGCTCCTCTTGAAATCCCAACCAAATAGAGATCATGGGCCGCAACATCTCAAACAAGTGTTGAGTGCTCTAGAGCATACCTAGTGCCATATCACTCATCCATGCAACACCACAACATTCAATTAAATGACCAAAATAGCACAGAGCTCAGCATCACTGCTCCAAGCTTAATGCAGTGGCACTACCAAGAAAAATTTTCAGAATTTAGATTTTACACACATAGACCCTTTGGACATGCTTCAAAATAGAATTTATGCATTCATACAGATGCTGAATATTCACAAACAGATGTTGAAATTTCAAACACATATGACTTAAAAGATTAAGTTCTAACCAGTTAAAAGTATTATTCTACTAGGTATTACATTTCTTGACTTGGGTAGAAAGCTCAGCACCGTGACACCATTCTGATAGCGCCAAATAATGTTGTTGTACAAATAGGGAAAAGAACATTATTGTGCCATAACACAGCACATCAACACCATAAGAACAGAGAGGTCAACGACGCAACGCTCCCAAGGCTAACTTCTATTTATCAATTTCATTCCAATTCAACCCACAATAATTTTTAATGACTACCTTAAACATAAAAAAAACTTCTAAAAATTTATGGTTGATTAAAAAAATGCCAAATTATTATATAGGGCATGCCACTTTAATTATCCATCTATGTATGGATACGCTTGAATAGATGTGAGAAGTGAAGTTATAAGAGGCAAATCAGACATATGAGCAAGTGAATGCATAAGTGAAAGTAAAGGTATAAGGGGTGTTAGAAATTGTATGAAATCTTCTAAAATGAAATATTAAAATTAATTTTCTATCATATTATCATATTCATGCCATGTTCAAATAAATATTTATATTATTATCTCTATCATGCACTCACTATTGATATTAGCTTTTATGCTATACTTGATAGTCACAACATATAACATAAATATGCATTAGCTTAATTTAAGCATATTTTGCTATTTATATGATGTTATACTGGCATATAAGTTATTTTTAATTTTTATATTAAATAATGAAGTAGCCTATTGAGTTATTATTGCTCACCCCTACTTCATCTACATCTATTATTTTTAGGAAAGGGTGAGGCTCTACTTGAGTCAATGACTACAATCTTTCATCAAATTAATCAAGTATAGTGTATTTTAGGCTCAATTTGAGACCGCTTTTTTATTGCTTTTAAATAAATTTTCAATACGAAAAATTTTAATTAAAAAAAAAAATCTATTTTTAAAAGCATTAAAAAAATGTTGTCTTAAATTATGCCTTTATCCACTAGAAGCTACGTTTATTTGTATTTTCATTCTTCCAGATTCTTCCTGGTTCAAACTTTTGTAATATTGTCAAATATAACATCGCCATTTTTTTTTTTTGTACAATTTACGTTTTTAACTTTACATGAATAACTATGAAACTTTATAGAATCTAAGAACTTGAAGTGATTTAAAACCAGAAACACAGTATGAAGTAATGACCATTGAGCTTCGTCCTATTAGAACACAGAATTTCTTCAAGCAGCAATCCACATGTAGCTAAATAATAGGAGCGTCTATTCGAGAGCACAAGTTAAATTCGAGTCCAACACGTACATAATCATTTGAAATTCAATCAATTTCATAAACTAGCCAAAAATCAAAAGCCAAACCCAACGTAACACAAAAAACATTTGATCATTACGGTTTAACATAAACCCAACTCACAATAGATGCTTATCAATTTCAATACCACAGGCAATAAAAATAAAAGAAATTATAATTTAATATATATTTTTTAATTTAAAAAATAAATTATTAAATTATTTTTTTCAAATTAAAAAAAACCTGTCTCGATCAATCCTTTTTTTTTTCAAATAACAAACTGACCAGAACCCAAAAGTTTTTTAAGTTACAGTTAATATTTTTTTTTTTTAGCATCTGCAGATGGCTACACTTATCTCACCACAGATGTATGTTTTTTGTTATTATTTAGATCATAATCACCATTCTATTAAAATAATGTATTATTATTTTTTATAATGTTTTGTAATAAAATATTATTTTTTTATAATTAGATTTGCCTCTACTTATTCTGTGAAAAAGATTGGCTTATGAGATATGATATACGCCAATGTTTAGAACAGAGTTCTCTAATTATACCTTTCAACTTGTTATCTAACTAGATTAATTATCAAGACACCTGACAAGCATACTGAAGCTAATGAAATACCATCTACTTCTCGAGTTACAGATAACAAAAAACTTTAGGTAATACAAATATGCAGAATGATGAGCTACACAAATATTTTCCTGCATCACACAGCTTCTGTAATACTGGATGCATCAATAAAAGAGATCAACATAGCCCATATGATCTGGACAGCAGCAAAAGTGCTCAAACCTTCAACATCCAAGTTTCTGTACGCTGTCTTCCCAAAATCCCATTCTGTATAGAGGTTCCATAGCTCTCAATTAAGCTAAGAAAGCTAATCTGTAAACACAATTTTTAAAGTTTTCAGCTACCAGTACATAATTAGAACGCAAAAAAGACAGATTATATGATATACGAACCTTCTAAGAGAAAAAATGGATGGCTAAAAAAGAAAAGCTCAGTTGATTCTAAACCGGATCTATTTATCTGAGTACTTGCTGATGAATGCTCGAAATTGTCGATGCTGCTTCTGTGAAGTTGGCATTTTGTTTTTGGATTATATTAAATTTTCGAATTGCAAAGCAAAAAAATAAAATAAATGTGTAATATTGGACCTTCAATAGTTTTTCTTTAGACCGTTGATATTTCTCGAACAGAAGTAACCACTCCATAGCCAACTCATACTCAATCGTGTTGGGCTGAGAACAGTGGGAGGTTGCCACAGCTTGTTTCTGTTGGAAAGGGAAAGCGACAAAGACAATAAATAAAGCGTTCGATAAGAAAGAAAACAAATTATATAGAGTAGATGGTAAGTCAAATGCTCGAAGTTAAGGACATCAAATTTTTTGTTAGGATAAAATTAATCTGTAGTGTTCTTTTTATTTCTGTTTGAATATCTTCTAGTCTGAGCATTTGCCTTATAATTCTAAAACAGTTTGCCTTATCATCTTCATATAAATTATATTAGATATCATAAGACAAAATTTACCGTTAAATAAATGATATCTTAGAAAATGGTGCTGCATTAAAACAAGAAAAGAGTGGTAGCACGAAGAAGTCATATTACATGTTCTATTCGTACAGGTTGTAGCCGACCTTTTTCAACTTTCAGATGGCCAGGAAATTTAGCTGCTTTCTGAGGCAGCTCAATCATACCAAGTTTGGCACAAAGAGGTCTGCGCGTAAACGTATCAAGTCAACGATAATGAATTTCTAATGAATTATAACGAAATATTCAGAACATTAGAACAGTAAATATAACCTGGAAAAGCACTATTAATAAACAAATACATACGGATTTACATAAGTAATGCTTCAGATCAGCAATAAATGAATATTATTTTCTTTAAATTACGAGTTTTTGAACTATTTACGTGGGCAAAGAAAACTTAAGAACATACCAATCAAATTAACATTTACTAGAGACCCACGCATCAATTTGCTATTAAAATCAGCTCACATCGACATAAACTTTTGATAATGATAAAGAAAGCTTTCAAAACAAATGATAATGTTTCCTTGGATTAAGATATATAATATATCATAAAGCACAGGAAACTGTTATGTCAAGAAAATAATTTGAAGATTCATCAAAACCCAAAATGGTAATTATTCATTGAGAGGAGCGCCATTTTTGAAACGGCTGAACTGTAAGCACAGTATGGCTACAGATGTTGAATTTGAAGATAATTATATTCCACTTTGTTTTGCATGGAAGGATCTGATTCAAACCAGAAATTCCAGCTAATCTGGATTAATTATTCGCTACTGTTTAAATAAGCATATAACCCGAAAATATGAAATCCAAGTCAGAAGAGACATAGGATGACTCACTAGAGTAGAAATCATCACACTGGCTTTTCTAAAAAAAAATGCAGATGTATTCCACATAAGAAAAACATTTCAACACAAACCAGGGCATGGAGTATATTCTGTTTGATTTCAGTATGATGGAACAATCACGGGACAAACTATTCAAGATCTCTATACTGATCGTACGGTATGATCTGAAGATAGTACGATACAATTAGTTCAAAAATCTTAAGTTCGTACAAGATGATCGCGGGAATGATTAGAAATCATCATGGCCTATCGTATGGTACGATTAACATCGTACAATACGGTCTATCATATTAATTAAATTTTGATTTGATTGACTAATTGTGGGGATTAATTTAAGTAAGTTTTCAAACATCATACGGTACGAAGATGTTCTTAGAATATGAACAATACAAAATCAAAAATTAAAAATACTTAAATTTAATTGGCGGCTAGGATTTTTATTTTAAACTGATCATCTAGTATAATATTGATCGTACTGTATGATTAGATTAAAATAAATAATTATGAATTAATCATTATTAATAATTTTATGAATAATTGATCGTACAGTATGATAGGGATCATACGGTATGATTAATTCAAAAAATTAAAAAAAAATTTCTCTCCCAAGTGTGTGTGTGTGCAAGGTTGCGAAAACAGCATACACCCTTATATCGCTCAAGAAATATAAAATTAAATAAATGAAAAATACAGACTCTTTCAAAACATATCCTATTTTACTCGATCTTGAGCCCTGAAAATTCTTGAGCGATGCATGATGTCCCTGAAATTGTTAGTACACATAAAAAGCAGATATACAATATAAATGCAAGGAAAAATATGAATTCAATCAATAATAATTGTTATCATTAAAATCATAAACTAGGTATCCCGGATTGCAATAGCGTGTACTACAGTGATTACCCATGGGTGATTCTATTTGGCACGGGTTTGAAACCCATCAATTGTAGCTTGCGATCCGGCTCGATCTGATATGTCCAATTGTGATACATGTGGGATCGAACAGTCCAGATCAGGCTAGGAGTTTTAGTTCAAATTGAACTATAACTTTAAATACTCATAACTTTCGATTTAATAGTCCCAATTTGACAAAATAAACATAAACTAAATATGTCCTAATCTTGCAATGACTGGAGTTGGCGGCTCCATGCATTGAGATTTAGTTGAAAATACAAATTAAAGTCTATACTTCAAATCAAGATATCTCACTAACATGTGATTGGATTTCCTCGATCATGACTATATGGATTACTGGAGATATCCTCTTAAATTTTCCAAAAGACTCTAAGAGATACTTTAGACTTAGCTTAAGAGATAGATCAAGATTATCCTTTCTCTAACTTTCTTTCTCTCTTTTGCTAGTTTGGGGTTTTCTTGAACTGGGGGTGATTGGATAGTCTTACGATAGGCTAGGGAGGTTCCTATGGAGCAAGGGGAATGAGTTAATCAACCCTTTCTTTAGAAAAAGGGAGGTATTTATAGGAGAAAAAATAATAGAGGGTCTATATCTTCCCACCTAAGCCATGGCCAACAACCAATTCAATTATTGACTAACCAATGGGAGCCAAGGGAAGGTTTTGGAGAGTTTCATGCCATTAGACCAAGCGTCCATTCAATTTTTGGTGAACCAATGATTGGAGAGAGAGATAGGTTTAAGGAATCTTGCCAAATCAATATCCCATGTGGCTTGAGATTAATGTGGGCTATTTAGGAAAGGTTCTAGAGTGCATTCAAGCTAGTGGTTGGGTTCAAGTTGGGCTTAGTTAGGTAAAAAAACATGGGTTTTGGAGAGCTTGGTTCAACCCGTTCTTTTCAAGTAAGTCAAACCTTAGTTTTAAACTTTTGGGTGAAGTGCATTGGGTCAATACACACCTCTTATATAAATGTTTAGAATTTATTTTATCAAGGGTAGAGATTTAAATGAAGAAAACCTCATTTTTAGCACTTGGTTTAACCCCATTGACCAAACCATTTGGGATTCCGCCAACATTGGATGTAGAAATGTAGACATGCAGATTATTTAGAAATCAAACAGAATATTATCAAAAAGTCTGCTAACATTGAATTCCAGTCTTCATCAAACAATCATAACGAAACATATGTGAAAGATTCTCCTAAAAAAATAGTAGAAATTGCCACAAAAAAGCTAGCAACTCCAAGCTAAAAATTAAACTCAAAATGCAAAGTCCAACCAGGGCTAATAACTTATATAATTATTATCTGTTGGAGTATATTACTCTAGTTTGTTTTCAAGGTGAAACTCTTATGTGAATGGTTCCTTGATGCAAATGTTAAAACATATTTTTTGTTAGAATACTCAAATAAAAAATATTACAAGTGATATTCCTCAATCACCGAAAAATTTACAATTTGATGGATGTAACCTTCATTAAACTTAACTTTATTACTCCAAACCTAAAATTAAAGAGGAGAAAATTGTTAGACCGTTGCACCCGTACACATGGGACCGGCTCGGGCAAAATAGAGGCAGAAGTTCCGCCTCTCCTGTATGCGTTGAATGCATGCCTGGGCCAACCGAGCTGTTTAGGAAGGATTTTTTTTTGGGAGTTAAAGAGGGAAATCTAAACATATCGATTGTTTAGAGATTTCCTTTTGTATTGTATGCATTAAATAGTTTGTTTTTCCTAGAATTAGGGCATCTTGAATTTGGCTGAAATTTGAGATCTCTTAGGTTTAGGTTTTTGGGCTCAAACGGCGTCTAGAGATTTGGGAGAGATAGATCCTCCTCTCGAATAGAAGATCAATTGTATCTTGTAATTTTTCTTCTGTTAGTTTGATTATTGTAAAAAAATTATTATTTTTCTGATTTTTTTCTTCGGATTTGTGGATCATTCTTGGTGTTTTCATCTAGATAATTAGGCTTTACTTGGGAATTCCAAGTATTTCCTAACAAATTGGTATCATAGTTGTTCGATCCATGCACCCATGGCTGGAAGAAAAGTAGAAGTATTGGAAGGGGAGATCCAGCAATTGAAATCAGATTGTGTAAGATTTAAGATTTCAAAAAACTAATTTCAACAATCCATGAGAAGATTGATTAGAAGTTTGAAATCATGGACAAGATGATAAGAAAGTTGCTTGAGTTTCAAACCAAAGCTACGTCGCCAGAGGCAAGAGGAACAACCAACAACCAAGGGAGTGGAGGAAACCTTAATCTGATAAGGAGATGGAAAGATCATGATGTGAAAATGTTGGAGGAAGAAGAGGGGATGCCACTTTTGGAGTCACTTCCAAGGAGAGAAAAGGGTGAATGATTGGGACTTTTAGTAAAAACTACAGAATTTGGAAGGAGAAAAAGATGGGGAGACGATAGAAGCAACAAACATGATTCTACCACACCTACAATAGTATCGAGGGGTGTTCCATCATGTTCAAGGGTTGATTGCTTCGCAGGAAAGTATGTTATCATCTGAAAGGAAGGAGTCTCATCTATCATTGTTTACATGTTTCTTCAGCCCCAAATCCAGAACGAAAAGATTGACAGATTAATCAAAGAGATGCTCGAGGCATGGATTATTCGACCTAGTGTCAGTCCATTTTTTAGTAAAATAGTATTAGTTAAGTGCTTCAATAGCAATTTTGTTCGTTCCACCTTAAGGACAATGTGGAACTTTGGAAGGGGAGTATTGTTAGACCGGTCCACATGGGACCGGCCTAGGCAGAATAGAGGCGAAAGTTCTGCCTCCTGTACATGTCGAATGCACGCCCAGGTCAACCGAATTATTTATGAAGAAGTTTTAGGTGAGTTAGGAGGGAAATTAGAATGTAGGGACTATTTATGATGTAGGCAAAGGGGGATTTATGATGTAGGCAAGGGGGGGGGGGGTCAAAATATTTTGGGTTGTAATTTTGGTGAGCTTCTATGAACTCTACTAAAATCAGCTAATTAATGCTTGAATTGCTAATTTTCAGCTCATTACTATCGGTAATTTACTTCCTTTTTTGCTCATTATGAGGATTTATTTTGGTTCATCCCCCCCCCCCCCCCTTTGCTCATTATGAGGATTTATTTTGGTTCATTCCCCCCACCCCCCTCTATAATGACCCTTTGGTTTTCCCACCTAGCTCCCCTTCCCCCTTGGCCGCCTATTCCGGTTCCCCTTTGGCTGTCTATTCTATTCCATGTGGTGCCCGTTTCTTCTCCCTTGGTTGCCTGTCCGATACCCTTGGTCGTCCGTTCCTTCCCCCTTGGATGCCTTTTTTAGTTTTCTGTGTGGCTGTTCGGGTGTTGTTTCTGGATTAAATGCTGGCCTTCTATTTCCCATTACCTGATTGATTCGGTTGGAGGTGGATTGGCTGTTTGGCTGCCCCCTTTTCTCTTATAAATTAGAGGTGTTTTGATGCATAAAAGGTTGTTGATTATTTGAGAAAAATTTCTTAAAAAACTTGAGGGTTTCTTCTTCCTTGGAAAAGCTTGAGAGTTTGTTCCATTTCTCTCTTCCTCCCCTATTTCATCATGGGCTTCTAACCTCTTTCTTCTCTCCACAAGTTCCACTCCACTTATATCTTTCTTCTTGAGCTATTGGAGGAGTTTGTTGGCTGATTTGATAACATTTACCAGAGGAGTTTTGGTGGACGTTGGACCTTTTAGCTGTGGTGGACCTTTGGTTTGCAAGCCTTTAAGCACTTCTTTTATATTGCCTACTTTTTGTTGCATGGGAGGAAACCTCTTGCCGATTGTTTTGAGGGTAGTTATTTTTAATTTTAATTTTGTTTTGTTTGTTTGGCTTTTCATTTGTTTTTGAAGTTTGTTTGAATGTTGGTATTCTAAGGCTTGATCGAGTTATATTCTACTAGTCCTGATGTTCTCCTATCTTGGCTCTTTCTAATTTAGTTGTCTGCATCAAAATTGGTATCAGAGCCAAAGTTAGGATTTTCCTAAGTTGTTTGTTTTTAAGCGTTTAGAAAAATGAAAAAAAAAAAAACAAAAATATTGAGTTAATTGTGGAAGAAAGTAATCCAGAAGATCTTAAAGTCCCTCTTCTAATGGACAGATGGATTCCGACAGAAGAAAGTTCAACAGATCCCTTACAGAATGAACTATACAAACTATAGATGAAGATGCATATGTGTACGAAAAATTATATGAAGAAAAAGAAATTTCTACAAGAATAGTTCAAGCATGAACGAGAGCTGATTTTGAAAAAATATGAGGACAAGATTCAAGAGCTGGATTCAGCACCTTCATCTCGTCAAAAAAATCCATAACAACCTCATCAGGAGACACTGAGCTTCTATGACCTCTACTAAAATTAACTCATTAATGCTTGAATTACTGCTTTTCAGCTCATTACTATGGGTAATTTACTTTCTTATTAGCTCATTATGAGGATTTATTTTGGTTCATTCCCCCCCCACCTCTCATGACACTTTGGTTTCCCCACCTAGCTCTTCTTCCCGTGGCTGGTTCCTTCCCACCTTGGCTGCCTGTTCTGGTTCCCCTTTGGTTGCCTATTCCGTTCCCTATGGTGCCCGTTCCTTCCCCCTTGGTTACCTGTTCTAATACCCCTGGCTGTCCGTCCCGGTTCCCCTGGCCGTCCATTCCTTCCCCCTTGGCTGCCTTTTCCGATTTTCTGTGTGGTTGTTCAGGTGATGTTTCTGGATTAAATGCCGGCCTTCTATTTCCCCTTACCTAATTGGTTCGATTGGAGGTGGATTGGATGTTTGGCTTCCCCCTTTTCTCTTATAAATTAGAGGTGTTTAGATGCATAAAAGGTTGTTGATTATTTGAGCAAAGTCTCTTAAAAAACCTGAGGGTTTCTTCTTCCTTAGAAAAGCTTGATAACTTGTTTCATTTCTCTCTTCCTCCCCTATTTTGTCTTGGGCTTCTAACCTCTTTCTTCTATTTGCAAGTTCCACTCCACTTGTACCTTTCTTCTATTTGCAAGTTCCACTCCACTTGTACCTTTCTTCTTGAGCTATTGGAGGAGTTTGTTGGCTGGTTTGGTAAAATTTGTCAGAGGAGTTTTGGAGGATGTTGGACCTTG